GTTTGTATCGTAGTACAAGTCACTAATACTACTTGGTTTATTGGGCTAGCTGAACAAGCTAATGCACAGTCGCCAGACCTTGTCGGCGCCGCCTTCTGATTAGATCCACGCAGTATCCCTCGTGGTGTGTTGACGCAAGTCCACATCAGAAACTTGTCTTTGCACTTTGCGCCAAGCAGAAGCATCCCCTTTATTAACTGAAGGACAACTACGAGCCATGTTGGTAAGTCAGGAGACAGCACAAACGAGACAACGCACCTTGAACCTCGATGGTCTCGCTTGGTTCGACTCAGCCCAAGTTCGGTCGTAAGCAGTACAACTGGGCAACTGGGGGCGAGTCCAACGTCAGACAAGCAGTGGCGAGAGAGAGCACAGAGCACCTTCAGAACGGTCGTCTTGACCTTGAGCGCAACCAGTTGCGTGTTTGGATTGGAGATAGTCAGCGTTCACTTGATATGCTGCTTGAGGAGTCCTGCACGATATCTCTTTCAACAATGAGCCTCATATCGCCATACTCCGGCTGATGGGGAAAAGGAGAGTTGGTGCTGTGAGAGAGTTGGCTCGGGTGATGTGATGACAGTATAGCAGGCCAAGTTCTCAGCGCACCCCTCTGTAAGAGGCCAGACTGGCAACTCACATGCGCTTCAAGCCCCTTTACAAGCCCCTTTACAAACTGTTAGTTACCTTATTACAGTCAGGTAAAGCATGGTCTATAACCGCATAGCCTGCTTCACTGTGCCGCATGCCGTTCTATGGTTCAGAAAGGTCTTATAGCAACGATGGCGCAGTGCTCTGGCCCAAAAATCCCTACATGGGACTAAGTGCAAAAGTAGCTAAACTAACGTTGGCAACTAGATTGATATACAGATGAAAGGGATGTGCCCGAGGCATTATCGGTCCAGAGTAAGATAGTACGTGCAGAGGGAAACATGTGAAAAGATGCCTGTAGAGTTTTATTACCTCTTGTTGAGTGCTTGTATCTGGACACATTCGTAGTAGCTTCCACACAGCGCAATGAGCTTGTCGTGGATGCCAGATTTGTGGACTGCACCATCCTTGATGAAGTATCTGTTGCCACGCCATCACCACCTGCTACTTATAGCTCTGAAGTAGAGGAGTACTCAGATGCAGTCTGCATTCTGGATGGTTGGTAAACGATGTGCAATCACAATCGTTGTCTGGCCCTTGGCAGCACTGTCGAGTGCTTCCTGCACAATCTTCTCCAAGGTCGAGTTGTCTGCGCAATTGCAATGGCCACCGGAGAGCTGGGAGCCCTTACCACCAACCTCGGTGTCGAAGCTGTCTGGTAATGACGGCCTTGAGTTTTTTTTAGCAGGCTTCGTTGCACCAAGGAGGATGTTGAAGCGGATGGTACTAGCATACAGCGTCTACCTATAAGTCAGCATGGTCATATTTTAAATGGAATAGACGATGACTCACTGGTTCCTGAGAGGCCAGAGCAATGTGCTTGCGGTACTCGATGGGCTGCTCATCGAGGTAGACAGGTGCCCATAAGTGGGTCGTAGAACTGCTCAACAAGCTGGATGGTCGTACGCTTTCCACATCCTGACGTGCCGACAAGCGCCACATAGGTGCCAGACCCAACAGTGAGGTTGAGGTCACACAGAATGCACACACCGGGACGAGTGGGGTACCAAAAGTGGATGTTCTCGAAGTGGATGCTGCCCTCCGTACTGTCGGCGTCAATGCTAGGCTTGGAGTCCAGGAGGTTGACGATGTCCGCTGCAGCACCCCAAGCAGAGTACATGTCAGGCACAAACAAGACCACATTGTCCGCCTGCATGGAACTGAAGACAGTCATTTGGAGCGTGACGAAGAGCTGGAACGAAGAATTGGAAGGTGCCAAACTCCTGAGTCAAGACGAGGTGCAAACCATATCAGAAAATGAGAGTGATAATGAAGAAGGACACCAACTGTGTGATCGTGTAGAGCATGTTGGACCAGAACGAGCTAGTCTTGGACTCCTGGAGCGGGCCCTCCATTGACTCGCTGTACAGATGGAGGCAATCCTTCTCATGAGTGAGAGAAGCAACCGTACGGATGGAACCAGCAGCTTCGCAGGCGAGGTGAGTGGAGTGCTCATGCGCCTTTTTGTTCTTCTGATCCTTAATAATGACAATGTGCAGATGAACAAAACCACCCAAGATGACAAGCGGAACGCAGGTGAGACCGACCATGCTTCCATGCCGGCGAGGCCATGTATCTTCTGCAAATCGTCACTTAAGCTGGATGTAAGCTGACCTGCACTGTTCTAGTCCTTGTCGAAGATGAGACCAAAGGAAAGATAGACAGAGCCAATCACTATAGATGGTGTCAGAATCCATGATACGCTTAGACAACAATAACCATTACACACAGAATGCCACAATAAACCCTATGAGGTACTGGGGCCACATCCCTCGGCTGATTCTGCCCATGCACTTGAATAGGTAGAAGAATGAGTACTTCTGTGCCTTGTTCGTCTCCTTTCTCTGGTCGTGATGCTTGAGGATCTCCAAAGCAAGCAAGCACGTGCCCATCTGCGAGCGACCAAGTGGGATCTCCTCCTCTGCCTGCTTCTCAATGCTCTCTTCAGGGGTCTTGTTGCCAGCTGCCGTGTCGCTGTCGTCATCACCCTTGGACTGTGACGCTCTCTCGCGGGCTTCACGGAGCTTCTGGGCACTCACGAGGTGTGCGTACAAACTGTTCTTGCTCAAGGACGAAGCTGTCGCCCATGACATAGATATGGTCGGTGCGCAATTGTGATTGTTGTGCAGTCCACAGCAGCCTTGTCTAGGGCATTCTGCACGATATCCTCACTCTGGGTGTCCAGTTCACTAGTGGCCTCGTCGTCAAGGAGCAGAATGTGAGGATCTGAGATGACGGCACACGCGATGGCGATGCGTTGCTTCTGGCCACCAGACATGAAGAAGCCATGTTTGCCGACCATAGTCTGGTAGCCGAGCGGCAGCTTGGAAATAAAGCCGTCTGCGCTGGCCGCGGTGCATGCCTTTTTGATAATGCCATCTTCTCATCTTCCGGAGCATGTTCCCATTTTGTGCCAATAAGGCCATGCACAATGTTGTTCCTGATGGTCACGGCGAACAATGTCGGTTCCTGGAATACAAGTCTGATTTGCAAGTGGAGCCACTTGACGTTGCGCTCTCACAGATCAACACCATCGAGTCGGACAGCTTCCTCGAGTGGGTCGTGGAAGCGCTCGATCAAGACAGGTAGTTGAACTTGTCGTTGCCTGAGCAAGATCTCACCAACGCAGTTCTCGGCAGGGGACAATGAGTCAATCATGGAACGTGGTCAATGGTTTCGTAGTGCCACGGGCACGTGTGATAGCTAGGGGAAGTGTGTGAATGGCTATTCACCATATGGAATGACATGATGTGCACCTTGCATCTCGAGAGCAAGCAACACGAGAACGAGCTAAAAAGGATAGCGAAAAAGACATCAACAATGTCACCGGCATTTGCTGAAGGATCAATAAGATGCATACTCTTACATATTCATAATGGCAACGTACCTTCGCTGCTCTGGGTAAGTGTTTTAAATGATGAAGAAAAATGCAACAAATCCTCCACCATGCCAAAAAGCCGCGTTCATGTCATCCTTACAAGTCTCCAAGAACCTTCTGGGAACCGAAAGCATGTGCAGTACGAACAGTGGAGATAACCTGAGCAAGAGCTGCATGTAGGCAGAAATGAACTTGTTCATGCCGGCACCAGTGATGCTGATACACGGCAGGATGGAAGAAAGCACAGGAGCCAGTGACCTTCTCAGAGATACTCTGCTGCACAAGATCTGAACCAATATGTCAACAAGCTAGGAAATGAACAGGATACCAAGATACGTACGGGTGTCCATCTGGATACAGGTAGCAACCTTGCGGATCCGCTTTGTGTAGACCCAAATGTACATATAGACAAACATCGCGAGCAGCATACCAAGGCCTGGAAACGTTGAGAGCGTGTGTACTGTTCAGATTGTAACTTGCTTACTGGTATAGGCAAGACAAGATGCATTGGAAGCAGCGGCGCGCCAGAAGTTGGCAGCAGAAGCCAAGTCTGCTCCTCCTCCGTCTGTCCGAAGCTACCAGAGTTTTCAGTGAGTCGACTGAACAGTAGACTCATTAAATGCTGGAAACATTTTTGAGGGTACTATTTTGGCTGAAGTGAGTAATAGCATGGGTGGTGGTGTTGTGAGAGAGTTGGCTCGGGTGATGTGATGATGGTAGCAGGCCAGTTCTCAGCACTCAGCGCACATCCCTCCATATCA